ACTTCCCAGGAGGTAATTACGTTTGCGTGAATCATTTCACACACTATAATATATAAGATACTAAGATTTTTACGAGTTCCAACCACTTTGAGTTTGTCCAGCATATATTCGCATAGATTGCCTTTCCATGGTGGGCAAAGTTCCTCTGCCAACTTTTATATATTTATCTATGACAGCTCGATATGACCAAATCCCTACAGCGCGTGAGGGAACAACATCAATTGTCTTTATTTTTTATTTTTGCTTCTTTTATTGAATACACAATGATACAATTCTCATGAAGGGGGAAGCGGCCAATCAAACGGCTGCCATAAACAGAGAGTCAGGCGGTGATTGTGGATTCGAACACTCGTCCACCGGGGTGAAAATTTGGTGATGTTACCACCGGACCACCACCACCAAACAACTATGTCCTAATTTCAAGGAGTTAGCGATAAATTGGCTCCGTATAAAAAATATGACTATTATCATTTATGGAACGAACCAAAAATAGGGCAGAATGTTTCCATATTGGTAGCACCTGAAGTTACTAACTTGTTAACAACCTAAAATTTATCTATATTCTACTAAGCCCGTATTACTTTTAAACACAAGATACTTTAGCGAATTTTGTGTGAAAGCCGACAAACAACATCAGGCCATTGAGGATATTAGCTTGTCTTAGCCACGACGGACGAAAATAACCAGTTTTTGAATACATAGCCTATCCAGAGCTCACACATTCACCTCAACATGAATGAGATTTGTGTTCAGAAAGCCTTGGTAAATCAAGATGGAGATGATGCGATGGCATGTACTGGAGCTACTGAATACAACTGCCAAGGTGGGAAGTTACAAAGGAAGGATAATGAGAAGAACGTCAAAACAAAACAATAAATAGTTCTCCTGCTTCAAATTTCACGTTATTTTTGTCGACTAATAATCGCAATATCGCAAGCACACACCCAATACCCGAGGGCCACTAACAAGGAAACATCTGGAGGCGATTAAAGAGGTCCAGCAACGTAAAGACATTATAATAAGCAGACCAGATAAAGGATCAGGAGTTGTTCTGCTGAATAGATGTGATTACATCCAGAAGATGTCCGAACTACTGTCTGATAAGAAGAAATTTGACAGCGGGCCTCAAGAGAAAGATAAAACGACACAGACAGAGAAACAAATCGTGAATAGCCTCAAATCCTTAAAGGACCAAGGCTATATAGACCAATCAGTGTTCGACTCAATAAAGCCGTCCGGGTCAACCACTCCGCGCCTTTACGGGTTATCCAAGGTGCACAAGACTGGCACACCATT